CGATCGCAGACATGGATCGATGGGTCGTGGATTGGCGACGGGTCCCGTTGCCATGGGAAGTCGCGGATGTCCGCCGCCGAGCGAGGCGGCACCGGCCGCTTTTTGGGGAGGGCACCTCCCCTGATCCATGGATTTGGCGACCGCGCGCCAAATCCATGGATCGCTAATCCGTGTTTGCGCGCCCCCGATCGACTAGCAAGTCGACATCATCGTCTGCGACGTCCTCCAGTTCGCGCGCCCAGCAGACGGCGCAGCAGCTCCACCGGCAGGAAGTGCAGCGGAGAATGCCATCATTTCCAGTCGGGTGTTCCTCGTGAAGACTGTCGCGACCCACGACTGCAGGAGCCTTCTCGCCCGCAGACCTCTAGCAGTTAGTGCCCACATCGCAAACAGAGACCAGTTCCAATAACGCCATGACCACGCAGCATTCTGCGCTCAGCAGAGAGATCGAACGCCTCCACAGGACGCCTCGTTGAGGACGCCAGTGGCCCATGAGGGAGGAGCGCCAGCACCGCCTCCTCATCCTGCGCATTCGTGACCTCGGAAGTGTTCAAGATTGGATTACCGCTGGTAGCGGGGACATTCAGAAAAAGGGTCCTGCTCGGCGCAACCCGCCACCTCTTGCTGGATCTGACGCTCCGTATCGCTCCGCACTTGCCGAACACGGAGGACTTGAAGGACTTGAGAGACTTCTCCCTCCGTCCCGCTCCGCTCCTCCCGAACTCGAGGGTCTTGGCGCTGTGCCCTCGCCATCTTCGAAATCCTTCACGCGGCCGCTCCAGTCCCCTGACGCCCAAGGGACAACATGAGTGGCCTCGGCGCGAGGAGGAAGGCTCTTGGCCGCCAGCCACGCCTCAAACGCAGCAGCACTGATGTTCGACGGCTGCGGCACCAGCCCGCCCGCCGCCCCAGGAGCGGGCGCACTGCGCGCCGCGCTGCCCAGGGCCAGCAGCTCATCCGCCTAGTGAATATCCTTGCCCGTGAAGCCCTGCAGACGGGCTGCCGCCACCGCGGCCCCCGTAGAGGGGCACGTGGTTGCCAACCACATGACTTCTCCTACTAGGCGCCAGTGCGCCACCAGCTCCGGACGAGGGCCTCCCGTCAGCTTGCTCACTTGAGCCAAACTGGCTACGGAAGCGCGTGGGGGGAGGAGGGCGCGGAGGAAGACGAGGAGGAGCAGGAGAAGGAGGAGGAGGAAGAGGAGGAGGAGGGGGAGGGGAGGATGAACAGGGGAGGGGAGCAGGTGCCTCGGCAGTTCTTGTTGGTTCTAGGAGGTGTTCTCGCCACGGGGTGGTTTCCTGCGGCTGCGTCTCGCCCAGAGCATCCCAGGGGTGCCCGAATGGTCCCAGACAGTCGCTGGAGACCTGAGTTTTGTCACCCAAGCCGAGCTTCTTGCCAAGTGGACAATCAGGACAGGAGGTGCTCCGCAATTTTCGGCTTCTGGTGGGGCCATCCTGCCCGCCCTTACGATCTACTCTTGTGCGTTCTCCTCTGCGCACTGGGCGGACACGATCGGTATAAGCAGGGCAGGCAGTTGATTACGTTGGCAAGTGCGGTGGGAAAGCAGAGCATCTGGGCAGGGGTCAGGATCCGCCCAAGCGCTTCCATAAGCTGGCGCTCTTGCTGAGCGTGCAGAAAAGTGAAGCCGCGCGCTTTCATTGCATCTCTTCCGTCGCGGTGATTTTATGTTAGGGCGTTAGTCCCGATTGTTGTTTGTAGGCTCTTTACTTATCATGTCGCACACCTTCCGCCCCGTTAGGTGTGCACGCGTGCCTCTCCTTCAAAACGAGATGTCACCCTGTGTATTGCTCGACTGTGCTTGACAGCACCACGTTCACCGTGCAGGCTGGCGCAGTGACGCGATGAGCCTTCTCATGCGGATCCATGTCTCGGTGGGCGGCTGATGTTGGTCACGACGACATCGGCGACGCCGATGATCGTGATGGTGGTGGCGGTGGCGAATAGGGCGACGGCAACAGCAATGCCGATGATAGTGCAGACGCTAGTGATGATGACGGCAACGATGGAAATATTGCTGGAGATGGTGGTCAAGGTGGCAATGATGATGTTGGCGGTGGTGGTAACGATGGGCGCGCGCACAGAAGTCATCTGGCACTTGTTTTGCAAAGCAGCGATTGGTTTTCAAGTGATTGCGAACGTATCTACGTTGTAGTGCTTAGTGGACCAACGGCTTGCAATGCACTCGACATGCGCGCGGAGAAGCGCGCTTGTTGCACGAATGTTATTGGTTGGCGCCGCCGCAGGCGCGCCCCTCAGGGCCGCCCCCCCTCCCGCGCCGCCCCGCGCGCGGGCGCAGAGGTCGGACGACGACAACTACCGCCCTTGGCCGTGCACATCTTGGGCCCAAGTTCGGTGTAAACCCAGACCACCGGCGCAGTCAGCAGGACTCGTTCTGAGGTCTCCCGCTGCTTCGTGCTCTGGGGGCCCTCGCCGGGCCCAGGGACGTCACAGCACTCTTCGGGATGATAAGCCGGTCCTGGGTGAAGGGTCGGGACTTCCAGGGACCGTATTACGTCCGCAGATGACTTGTGTGCACCATGCCGCGTTGGCGTCTCCCGAGGCGTACTCGGTTCCCGCCCCAGGAATGGTCTGGTACATAGTTTGTCGGCACCAAGGGCCGAACACAAGCATGCACCAGGAATGGTGCTGTGCACGGGCGCCGTTCTCAGAGTATCGAGAGACCAGGGCATCGGATCTCTGGATGCACAATGGTTGCGGTCACGCCGCCCTGGCTGTGGCAAGAGGGCGTATACACCGATCCTTGGGCCGAGAATCGGCCTTGGCCGAGATCTAAGGGCCGTCTAAAATTGGTTATTCGGCTCCTCCATTCTTAATCCTTATCCAGGGTTGCTAACGACGCATCCCCAACTCATCCACAACGCATAGGATCCGCCATCAAATAAATGCGTTATGCAATGTCATGCGATGACATATCCTACGCGTTGTTGATGCGTTGGGGATGCCGTCGGCGGCACCTCCGGGCGCGAATAAGTCCTCCCTTTTGCTCCCCCTGTCGTGTCAGTACGGCGGGCCAGGCGTTTCGCTCGAGACTTCCTCACCACTTATGATCCTGAAGCTTTGAAACTTGCTAGAGCTTCGCTGATGGCGGGCGGGTGTTTCCTTCAATATGTGGCTCTCGCCCGCCGGACACATTCTCTGAAAGCTGACAGCAGCGTCAAGGACGCAGGACAGGTGCGTTTGGGCATGTTTGGGCGATGCGCGTGACAGTCACATTGCCCGCGTCGTTGACATCCCAGGGCTGGCGCTTTGGCGCGATTGTGGATTCTCAGAGGTTTGTTCTCTAATGTGCCATTTCCCGCAATGACCACTCATTCTTGCAGGGACCTGAAGGAATGGAACTCGGAGGGAGGGTGTACTGCAACATTGTTGATGCGTATTGGGTTTACACTGGCCCTCTTCCTCCTCCCTTCTTTTCTTCCTCCTCCTCCTTCTCGTCTTCCTCCTCTCTTCCGTTTCCTTCTCCTCCGCCTCCTTTTAGGAGCATTCAGCATTTCCCAGTGTTGTCACGCTCAGAGCTCGAGCATAGGGTTCGGGGGACGTTGCAGGCTGGACTGCCCGATGAGCCGGATAATCGCCAATTCTGTGTTTGCAAAAACATTGTGTTGGCCTCCAGCAAGCGCCGCAGATCTGGATCGTTCTGGAGAATGATGTTGATGATGATGCTGATGATGCTGGTGATGACGATGATTATGACGATGGTGGTGATGTTGATGGTGATGATGATGTTGATGTTGATGTTGATGATGATGATGATGATGATGATGATGATGATGATGATGATGATGATGATGATGATGATGATGATGGTGCGGCTGATGTTGATGTTGGTGATGATGATGATGATGATGATGCTGCTGCTGATGATGATGATGATGATGATGATGATGATGCTTATTCTGATTATGATGATGATGATGATTATCATGATAATGCTTATCATGGTAATGGCCATGGGGCCATCTTGGGCGTCTTGGACCCGGTGAGTCTTGGCTTTCTCGGGCCGTCTTGATGGCCTTTTGGGGCCCAGTTGGCCCGTCTTGGGCCTCTCTTGTGCTCGGAAAAATCATGCGGGAACATCATGGGGGCCCCAGAGGGCGCGCGGGGAGCCTCAAGAGATTTGGGAGCTTGGGGTCTGGGCACATTAACAATCCTAAGGCTTGAGGGCTGAGGCTCAGGGGATAGGGGAAGCCTATGGGGGGCCGTTTTGGGGCCTCTTTCGGGCCTCTTGGGAGCCTTCTGGGGCCTCCCGGGGGCTTCTTGGGGGCCTGTGGGCCCCCCCGCCTCCGAACACTGAATGCGTCGGGAATGGCGCCCCCTCCCCTCTTGCAGAGCGAAGCTTGAACGAGCTCAAGTCCACGCTCTCAGGAGCTCACACGCCGGATCGGCGGAGTTCCTGGGAAGACTCGCCATCGGGAGCGGCAGGAGATTGGCAACACCAGTGTCGGCGTAGACGGTCGGTTCGTGTCGTGTCGTGTCGACGGGGCGCCGCCAGTGTCCCAGAATCGGCCAGCATGGCACGTTCTGGCGGCCAGAAGGCCGCCGATCGCTCGAGTCGACCGCTCCACGCGGTGTCAGACACCAAGCCTGGGGTCGTCACGCAACGAGCCTGCCGCAGTTCGGGCGGAGCTAGGACAGATAGAGATGGTTACAGAGCGTTCCGGAACGCGTTCAGGAAGCTCTGAGGATGGCGCGGCGCCCGATACATCATCCAGAGCCGCTGGACCTGGAGGATGCCCGATGTACGGTGGGGGCGGTCGTTGAGGAATGTGCCCAGCAGGCTGCAGACCTTGGAGGATTGCTTACTTGATGAGGGCGACAGTGATAACCATTCCAGACCCTGGGCTCCTGATCCAAAGGTTCCTTGTCCAATGCCCCCACCGTATCCCTGTCCGATGTTGTCCCTGCCCTGGCCTCGTCTTGGTAGTTGCCGCTGTCCTCAGGGGGCGCCCCGCGGGCAGGCCGCCCTCTCGGCCGCCCGCCTCCCGTCGCGCGCGCGCGGGATGTGCTTCCCGCCCTTCTGCCAGCCGGCGAAGCACTTCCTCGGCTGCCTCGGCCCCTGCCCGCCACCCCGCCCCCGCGGGGCGCGGGAGCGCCCTTCAGTCGAAGGAGGGGGGACGGTGAGTGTGTACGAAGATGAGGAGGATCGAGGATGATTCAGGATGCGAGGGTCGATGATGATCGAGGAGGATCGATCATCGAGGATCGAGGAGCATCGTATACCGATACGAGGGGGATCGAGGCGGATCGAGGATCGAGGGTGCGAGGAGGACTCAGTTTCTGGTACTTTTGTGGGCGCCCGGCTCGACTGAGCTGGCCACGAGGGCGGCCAGGAGAGTCCCAGGGGCCGGCGTGAACGGATCTCCGTCGGGACAGCGGGGCAGCGGGGACGGCCTTTTGACAGGGCGCCCAGGGCTTGCCTGAAAATCTCAAGCTCCTCCCCACACCTCCAACCCCGTCAGACCTCTCTGCCTCTTCCTCCTCCCCCCCCTTCCTCCTCGACCCTTTCTTGGCTACCACACCTCCAGCGTCGCGCACAGAAAACAGGACGTCGTGGAACCATTGCGACTGGAACGCTCGACCTTATCTGTCTTCAAGGTGTTTCGAGCCGGATCCGTCCGTGAGGGTGCGGGGCTCGCAGGTGGTCGAAAAGGCACGTTGTCATTTGAATTTTGGTGTTGCTGTTTGGATGCCAGGCGCGCCAGAGGTGAGGGGGGAGGGGTCTGGCGTTGCGTGTTGTTCAGGGTGTCATTTGCTCCGAAGCGAGCTCCTCGTGTCACTGCAAATGCCTGTTGGACGTGCACGCCCCTTTTCCGCACGCGCAACCGTTTCGGCGGCTGCCTTCCCATCGACACACGTTCGTTGGCAACCACTTCTGCGCGTCCCGCTGCCGCCTTCGCTGAGTTGGACCAGGCGGCCAGGAAGCAAAGAGCGTGTTGTCCTGGCCTCCCGTCACCATCCCTTTGGATGCAACTCCTGGGAGGTCAAATTCTGTTTTTGCCCTGGTCCGAAATCCGGCTTAATCCGGCTAATCCGGCTTAATCCCGCTGAATCCGTTTAATCCAGCTTAATCCGGCTTCATCCGAGGCCCACTCCGGCATCATAGCCCCCCAATGGGGCTTGATATTTGTTATCTTTCCGACGAAATCCTCCAAGTAGTTGCCTCCTAACATCCCCAGGTCTGAGGCAGGGGGCCGCTGTGGTGCTCATCCTGGATGCTCTCTACGGGCTCTCGCTGGTGGTCCTGCACGGGATGCTGCTGGGACAGGCGCGGAGGGGGGTGGGTCCTCAGGCGCTGGGTTCTGGGGTGCGGGTCGGCTTGCCGAGGGGCGAGTCGCAGGTTCGAGTCGAGTCGGAGGAGGAGGAGGGGTGAGAGGGGAAGAGAATGAGGTTGACGGACATGAGAAGGACGAGGAGGCGCAGGAGGTACGATGAGGAGGAGGAGGAAGAGGAGGAGGAGGAGGAGGAGGAGGAGGAGGAAGAGGAGGAGGGAGAAGGGAGTGCGGATGCAGGAACGAGGATGGGGAGGAGGAGGAGGCGGGATGTGGAGGACGGGGAGGAGGAGGATTGAGGAGGTAGGATCAAGGAGCGAGGGATGAGGATGAGGGAGGCAATGTATGAGAGAGGAGAGGGTGGGTGGGTGGGGGGGACGGAATGGGGGACTGAGGAGAGGCAGAAGGAGGATGACGACAAAAGAGAAGGCGGAGTAACAGTTGGGCAGGGCAGAGAAGAGAGAGAGAGAGAGAGAGATGGGACAGAGGACGACTAACAGCAAGAGCAGCATGAACGCAGTGGCCACGTCCATCCCCCGTGCGGTGCGTGGGCGCCCAGGCCAGCAACCTACCGAAGAGCCGAAGAGGATGAACAAGTGATGAGGTAAAGGAACAGGATAAGCACGGTCCAGGATAAGGAAGAGGACAATGCTGATAATGAGGAGGATGAGGCGAAGGAGGAGGGACGAGTCTGGGAAGGAGGACAATGGATATCAGATGCTGCAGGAGGAAGAGCTGGGGTGGGCATTCGCAGAAGGAGTAGGGGAAGGGGGTGGGTGGATGGAGAGGGGGAGAAACAGAAGCAGGAGATGACGACGACGACGACGACGATCCAGGACTCGAAGCTCCCACCTTTGCTCCCGTGCGGGGCCTGGGCACCTAGTCTCGGAGGAGAAGGTTGTGGAGAGGGAGGAGTGAAGGAGGAGGACGACGGGGAGGGAGGTGGAGTGGGAGGAGGTGAAGGAGGAGGAACAGGTGGAGGAGGACGAGGAGGACGCAGCATTCCTCGTCGAATTCCCCCCCCTCTCCAGAGCAGGATGGAGAGGATGAGGTGTGGAAGTGGAGGAGGATAAAAGGAGGAGGATAAGGCGGAGGAGGAGAGGGAGGAGGAGGAGGAGGAGGAGGAGGAGGAGGAGGAGGAGGAGGAGGAGGAGGAGAATTCCTAGAGGCCTAGATGCTTGAAATTCCTAGGAGACCCTCGAATCTTGGAATCCTGGAACTCCTGTCGCCGAGGCACGGGCGCGCGCACGGCGCAGTTGGGCCCTGCCCCCCCCCCCCCTTTGTCGCCGCTGCTTCTCTGGCCGCCTGGGGCACGGGCGGGCCGATGGAGCACCCCAGGCTCGGCGGCGCCCGCACTGGCGGTGGCGCGAGGGGGGCTGGCTGCTAAGCAGGCGGGGGGGGCCGTTCGGAACGCGTTCCTTTGTAGATGCTGGCGGCCCATGCCCCATGCGTCCACTGGCAGATTGTCCGCCGCCGGGCAGCTCGGTTCTGGAATTGGCTGTGCCGCCGCCTAGCGCCAGTACGGCGCCAGGGAGTCTCTGGTATGGTGCCAGGGGGCCCCTCAGAAGGCAGGGCTCTTCTTAGAAGGAGCCTCAGCTCCTGCGGAGCGACGACGAAGAAACTCATACACCACATTTCTTTGAGTCCGCGCGGAGTTCTTGGATCGGCACCGGGCCCCCTTGGCGGCGCCTCCGGCGCCGCCCCTCTCGCGCTCTGCGAGCCAGGGAGGAGGCCCAGAGGGCAGATCCAAGAAAGTCGCGCGGATCCCCCAAAGTTTGTGCTGATGTCGTTGCTCGGTCCTCTATAGAAGAGCTCGGTGGCGTCTAAAAAGTGTTTACTTGGAAGCCTCCGGGGCCTCCTCAGAAACCCGTGCCTTCTAAGAAACACCGCCGCCTTCTGAGGAGCTACCCCATTATGGGCGCCGCCAACAGGCATTCGACGTCGTGGCATTTTCGCAACGGGGGCCCTCTGACATCCTCGCGTCGTGAGGAAAGCCCAACAGAAGGTTTTTGGCCGTTTTCGGCGTCTGATCGGCGGCGAGCGAGGGGGTGAAGTGAGAAGGAGAATGCCTTCTCAGAAGGCGGCGGGACTTCTCAGAAGCCCTGGCGCCTTCTGAGAAGTTGTCTGTGTCTTCGGTTGAAGTGAGAAGGCCTTCTCCTTCTCACTTCCCCCCCTCGCTCGCCGCCACTTTGGGGGCCCTTGCCAAGCCCCGAGACCGTCGAAGAAACAGCAGGATGAAGAGCCTTTCCCCGGGAAGGGGCCCAGATCTCACGTTGCGAAGAAGCCACGACGTCTGATGTCTCGTGTCCGGCATTACTCTTTCGCACCGTGGCTCCCAGCCAGTGCCACCCAGTGGCCGAAGATGTAGAAAAGCCTTGCTGTCGGACCCAAGCTCGGGGCCCAGGGCCTGGCAAAAGGCCCCCTCGGGAGGCCGAAGATGTAATAAGGCGATTTCGCCATGGCGGGGGGGGCACCGGGATGATGGCGCAGGAGGGGCGCTTTGGCGGCCAAAGAGGAGGAGGAGGACGAGGAGGAGGAGGAGGACGAGGGGGAGGAGGAGGAGGAGGAGGAGGAGGAGGAGGAGGTTATTACAACGACCCGAGGTGGGCCGAGGGGGCTGGGGTCCACGCCCGGGTTTCTTCGGCACGCGCACCCTCGCAGCAGCCTCACACACTGCCCTCCCCCTCAGGTGGTTTGATCATCATCATCATCATCATCATCATCATCATCATCATCATCATCATCATCATCATCATCATCATCATCATTATCATCATCATCATCATCATCATCATCATCATCATCATCAGTGTGGAATGTGTTTCAGATGGGGAAGAGTGGCCGCACAACCGCAGCCGTTGTGCTCAAGCTTTTGAGGGTCTTGCACGTCGCCGTCTCGCGATCTGTTTCAGATCTCTCGCGTGGCGCCTTGCAGGCCTTGATAGGGTGGTCGGCGACCTCGGCTGAGCCGCCCGCTTGCCCACCGTGCGCGTGTGAGTGCTCTCCGACCTACAACCGATTGTGCCCGAACGTGGACGGTGCGAGTTTCCTGTTCTTGATCAGATCTTGGTGCAGTCACTCGGCGGTGTTCCTCTTCGGCTTGCTCTCGGAAACCTCCTTGGAACCTGGACTGCGGATTGTGAGGTATTTTCCTCGGAGTGTGTGGTGTCGACGTCGCGATTGGTCGCCTCGGACCGTATCGGCTGAGCCCCCGTGTTCGGCGGAGGAGAGTCACGTGAGTACGTCTTTGCAGGCGAGGGCCGCCATTCAGAATGCCGTTGCCGGGCGAGGTGCGCGCCATTCGATCTCGAGTCGACGGGCCCATGGTGTACCACGAGCGGGTGACGCTCACCGACTTGCCTCCGTCCGAGGTCGGGATCCTATGCGCGGGCGAGGGGCTCGTCTGTACGGGGTTGCGGAGGCCAACATCGACAGGTTGCGGTCGATGCAGTCCGCGGCTGCCATGTGGGGCCTCCTCCGCACCGCGGCGCTGCTATTGGGCGCTGCTCTGCTGCCGTCGCCGTCCGCGTGGGCGGGCGGACGCGGGGCGGGGGCCACCTGGTTGCCGCAGGCCCTGTGCGGGTGGACAACCCCGCCGCTGCCGCTGCGGCGGCACCAGAAAGCGGAACCGCCGTGGGAGGCGGCGGCGCTGGTGGGGCTAGCGCGGTGGTTGCTGCGGCAGGCGCCGTGCCCGCGGGCGCGGGCGCCTTGGCTGCCGCTATGGGCGTGCCGCCGCCAGCTGCTGTGGGCCCTGCGGCGGCGGCTCTCCGCGGAGAGGGAAGCTCCTGCCGTCGTCGGAGGTGTGTGGCCTGATGGTGCCCTGCCCGCCGCGGTGGACAAGCATGTGCGCGCTTTCGAGACCGACAGAACTGGGCGGCGTCAGCTGGACTTCGCCGTCGCCGCGCGGGAGGCCACCACTGAGCCCATGCACGACTGGCCGATCCAAGGCTTACGCTCTACACAATGGTGCTTGGATCACATGCTCAGGGGCGTTGGTGGTCCTTTGGGTTGGACCTCAAAGTGGAAGGCAGAGGCTCGGCTCAGATATTCGGGTGCGATCAGCCAGCCACACGAGACGAATCGCCGACTCTTGGAGATGGCAAGCGACTGCGATCAGCTCAACAGTTCGGAACTTGCCGCCGTCGGGGTGGCGGGCCGCCCGTCTCAGTTCATCGAAGCGAGGCGCGGCGAGGAGCCCATAGCGGCGCAGGTGACCACCGAAGAGAAGAAGGATAATAAGAAAGCGGCTGCTGCTAGCTGCGCGCTGCCGGTGGCGGAAGCCGATCATTCCATGGGGGTGTCGTCGGGCAAGGGAAACTTGTGCATCTTCCCAGCCTAGACGGAGTTCATCGCGGAGCATCTGATGTCAGAGGCTGCGATTGCCGAGGATCGGCGCGCCACCTTGCCTGCGGCAGCTGCATGGGTTTCCCCGGGGTCAGAGAGCCCCGTGGCGGTGGCCCAGGGCGACGTCCAGTGCGCTTTCTACCGCGTGCTAGTGCCGCCAAGTATGGAAGAGTACTTCACGCTTCCGACCCTTTCGGATCGTTTTCTGGGTATCAATCAGATCGAGGGGGGACCCATGGCCAGCAATTGCTTCCTACAACCGACGGCTTGCGTACTCACAATGGGCTGGAGCTGGCCATTACTTTTCTGTCAGAGTATCCTGAGGAGGACCCTTGTCCAGAACGGGTTCGGGGACGGCATCCTGATAGTGGACGTGTGACCGAGTCCTGCGTTGCGTTCGCTGGAAGTGTAGCTGCATCTGGCTACGTCGACAACTTCGCAGTGGCTGGCAGCAGCGCGGCGATCGTGACCGACATGAGGGACAAGATCACACGCGCCCTGGAGGTCGGGGGCCTGCCGGTGCACGCTATCGGCGAGGCATCGTCGGCGTCCATCTTCACGGGTCTCGAGATCAACGGTGACAAGAGCAACGGGGGGGTAAAGCCGCCCGCCTCATGCGGCTGCGACCGGCGATCGTGGCGGTTCTGCGGGGAGGGGCCGCGTCGCCTCGCATGCTCGAAGCGCTGCTGGGTCAGATTGCGTGGGCGATGATTTGCAGCGGAGAGACTCTTTCCGCCTTGTCTTCGGCCCACGCTTTCTAGTCTCAGAAGTACCCTGGTGTGAGGCCCCTGTGGAGCTCAGTGAGAGTCGAGCTCTTGTGCATTGCTCGTACGTTGCCTCTCTGGACCTCGCGCCTCAGCATTTCATGGAGGACGCGCGATTCGGCTTCGGATGCCCCACTCACCGGCGTCGGCGCGCGCGCTCGTCAGGTGGCCGATGTCGGGGGGCAGGCAGAGAAGTGGAGGTGCCGGTGCACGTCGGCGGCCTCAGCGCGGGCTAACGCATTGGGCCTGGACGGGCCCCGCGACGGCGAGGGCGTCTTGGAAGCTGTCTTCAGGGGCGGGGTCGAGGCGTCCGACTTTGATGAGGAGGCCCCTGTCGAGACATGTTTTTTCGCGATATCTCCGAGGACATCGCGCTGGCCTCGTCGCGGGCCGCCGTCATCTCCAAAAGGCATCGAGACCCTGTCGAGAATGTCTTGGAGCATCTCGCAATGTATCTCTTTATCATCAGCGTCATTACTGCTCGTCGATAGTATACCTCTGGCTCTGGCGGCTGGGAAATGGCAGAGGGCGGGGGCCCGCCCGCCGAGGGCCCGTGCGGAAGGTGGTATCTCTCTCTCTCTCTCTCTCTCTCTGTCTCGCAACCAGCTTTCGTTGTTTTGTGCGCTGGCTGCAGTCGGAGTTGAACGTTGCAGACTGGCCTTCTCGTCGTGGCCTCTTCCATGGCCAGGGCTTCTCACAGGCGCTCGAAAACCCGGACTGCCGAGGCGCCCAGGAAGCAGCTGGCAATGATCGTCAAGGCTCCGCGAGGAATGGTGCACCCGCGTCCGCGAGAGCTCGATGGGGGGGGCGATCAGCCTCTCGCAGATGTCGGCGGTCACGGACCCGACGAGGGATCGGCATCGTCGGCGCGCTCTGCGATTCCTGGAGTGGCTCGAGTGTCGCGAGCAGGAATGCAGCACCGCCAGCCAGCTGGAGGCGGCGGGGGTCAGCTTCGCGACCGACCTGGCGTTCGACGGGCTCGACTCGGCGACGGGCAGGACGACGGCAGCCGCGCTCGGGGACTGCCTGCCCCGGCCCAACCTCCTGGATGGCAAGCGCCCTCTGCCCCGAACCGCCCGCCCGCTGGACGCACGGCGCAAGCTCGCACTTCCGCAGACGCGGCCGCCGCCGCCGAGAGCAGCTGCCATGGCCGCGACAGGATGGATGAGATGCATGGGGCAGCCCAGCATGGCGGTCTTCGTAGCGCACTTGAGGCTGTCGGAGGCGCATTGGTGCACGCTCGCTCCCTAGGCCCCGCCACAGAGGACTCGAGCTACGACGCCTGGGGGCCCATCGTGAGCGATGCGAATTTGAGCTGCCCTGGCAGGACTGGAGCCGCCGACGAGTCGGCGCTGGCCGACGCCGCCGAGGTTTGGCCCGTGCTGCGCGCGCTGACGCTTAGCGCCTCCGTGGGCACTGGAACCTTCTGCCCGCGGGCGCGCTCGCCAGGCGGTGCGGGGAGAGGGCGCTGATGCAGCGGCGCATCGCGGAGCTGCCGCCTGCCGCGGCGTATTTCGGCAAGCAGGTCTTCAGTCGGCCGGCGGAGCTCATCGAGTCCCAGCACCTGAGGTCGCGGGCCCCAGCTCTTCTTCCGCGGCTTGCCAGCGGAGAGGACGGAGCAAGGAGGGCGAGGAGAAGGAGCAGACGAACGACGTAGCGGAAAGAGGGAACGCATCGAGCCTCAATCGCCCATTTACCGCCGATCAGGGCGCGTTTCATCGCCACGGAACCTGAGGCTTCGCCGCGGTGCGGGGCCAGTCAGGATTTGTTGATTAGCGTGTCGCGGCGGCCGCCCCTGCGACATGTTATGCCCTGCAAGCCGATAGCGCGTTGCTTTGCTTCGTGAGGCGGGTGGGTGGGAAAAAGGTCGGAAGCGTGACGCTCGGCATTGGAAGCGTACTCGGCGCGTCGTGCCGACGCGTGGCGTGCCAGAACGGGCGGCGTGACACGTTCCCCCTTCGGCCAAGATGCGCCATCACTGTCACAGGAACGTGCAGCCGAAGACAAGTTATTAATCCATGTTTGTTTCAAGCAAGCGCTGGGTCACCCCAGACACATCGGCAGAAATGCTGCAGTGACGGCCAGATCCATGAAACATGCAAGAGCAACGGCAGGCAATGGATAGGACTGTGAGGAATACGGGAGTGATGGCATTCACGCTTAGACGCTAACCCTTGTGTTTGTGTCAGCGCTCGTCCGCTTTCCTCCCGGCTTGCACTGGTGATCCGATGTCGCGAAGTATTGACTGGAAGTATGGACCGCGGGACATCACAAGCCCCCAACCCCATCTTTCTGCATTTTTCGAGTCAGATCGGTCCTTAGAGCGTCCTGGGATCCGAAATAGAGCGAACATGCAGGGCGCGATGACATGGCAAGGCCCAGGTCCAAGGTGAATCCCCCCCTACCGTTTCCTGTTCAGATCAACGAGCAGCCTGCCCGACTGAACCCGCCCCCTGCTCCCTCGGGGGTACCCGGTTATTGCAATATTGTTAATGGGTCTTCGGTTTCCGGTGGTCTTTCTCCTCTTCCTCATATCCCCCCGCCTCCCTCCGTTCCCTTTTCCTTCTCCATCCTCCCGTTTCCCCTCCCCCCCCCGAAGCCGAAGCCATAGTGCAGCTGCTGGTTGTTGCAATTCGATCGGCTAGGCCTTTCCGGGGTTCATGCTGTCTTCGTTCTGGACCGTTTTCAATCGTCCTCTTCCCCCTCTCCCTTCTCCTTCTCTTTCTCCGCCTCCTCTTCCTCCTCCTCCTCCTCCTCTCCTTCCTCCTCCTCCTGCTTTTCCTCCTCCTCCTCCTCCCCCTCATCCTCCTCCTGCTCATCCTTTCCTCGCGAGGTGCAGGAGCCCGTGGGGCCCGCGCACGCGCCAGCGGACGTAGACGTGCGCCGGCTGGGCATCGGTGTCCAAGCGTGGGCGGACCAGGCGCGCGCGCGCCGCGCGCGCCCCTCGGCAGCAAACCCAGGGCAGGCGCGCTCGCTGCGCGTTTACTTTTCGCGCGTGTCTCTCCCCATTCCTCCGCCACCTCCACGAGGCAGGAGTGCTTCTTCGAAGGCAGGGGCCTTCTTAGAAGTGCCTGGCGACTTTTTTGGGGAAGCCGAAGCACAGAACGCCATGAACATAAAACTTTCGGAGCTCCGCGCGGATTTTCTTTGATCGGCGTCTCATCACCTGGCGCGCTCGCGCGCGAGAGGGGGGCTTCCAGCGCAGGTCCGAGAGATCTGCGCGGAGCTCCGAAAGTGTATGTTTCTGGCGAATACGACTGCTCCTCCAGGGGAGGTTCGGGTTCGAGGGCAGGGGTGTTCGGGCGTTGCCGTTGTTTCTTGGCCGCTATCCAGCCTCGAGACGCACTCCAGCTGCTGCGCGTCGCCGAGAGCGTGCCAGGGGTGCTTAGATCCTCCCGAACGGCCGCTGGAGAACCGAGTTGTGACCCAGACGCCAGCAGGCGTCCGAGGGGGAGAAGGCCTCTCCAGAAGGCGGAAAGGGGCTTCTCAGGAGCCCTCGCTGTGGCTTCGGGGGAAGTTCCCAGGGCTCCCCAGAAGGCGCGGGGGGTTCTGAGAATGCCCCGCCTCGTGCGAGAAGGCGTGGCCTCCTCGCTCTTCCCTGGGCTCGCCGCCGACCCTCGTGAGCCTCGAGACTTCTACACAGCGTTCATGTCCAATTCTTCGAGAGTTCTTTGATTCTTCGGGGGGGCAAGGTCCTTTCATTTCTAATTGTTCTATCCTGGGCCTCATCCTGGCCACCAGGGGGCCAGGAACAATTAGAAACGAGCACAATTAGAAATGACCACGATTGCAGATGAACGACTTTTTGGCGTTTTGGGCTCTTGAGGCTCTTCAGATTGGCTGTTTGGGCTCTTGAGATTGGCTTAGAGCGCAAGTAGGTTTGAGACTGGCTTTTTGGGCTCTCGAGGCTTCTGTCTGCCGTCTCGTGGCCACGGTCGGGTTCCCGTTTTGAGATTCAAACCGTGATGCGCCCTTGGAGAGAACTGGCGGTCGACGTAGGACCCCTCGAACTGGCCGACCTGGACTGCACTTCGTTCCGAGAAATCACCACGATCGCAGGCCTATAGGTTGACACCAACACCAAGATCGGCGGTGTGCCTCCACCGAAGGAAGACGATCCCGATGTCGGTGATGGTGGTAATATTCTGGCTTCCAAGGTGACTGAAATATTACACCAACACCGAAATCCAGGATCATCTTCCCCATGTGGAGGCAACCCCCTGTGCTGGTATTGGTGCCAATTTCCAGGCCTTCAAGACGAGCGTTTCTGGCAGTGTTTGGTCTGAAGGGGCCCTCGTCAGGCTCCGTGGCCGCTGGAAAGGCCCGGACTTCTTGAGGTCCACGTTTTGAAACATACGAAGTCGGGTGTTGGGCAGAGAAACGAAGAGAGACCAAGGAATCGTCGGCGTTCCGCATCTTCCACCAGTCTCTCATCCTTCTCCTCCTCCTCGAGGTCCTCGTGTTTCTTCCTCGACTTCCTCCTCGTCCTTCTCCTCCTTTCCTCCTCCTCGGCTTAGTCAGAGTGCCGACCGTGTAGTCTGGGGAGCGCTGTACCCTCCAGGCTGTGCCGCGTGGGGGCAGGGGTTACCCGCAACTCTTTCGCAGCATGGCGGTCCAAAGGCCATGTCAAGTAGTTGTAGTGGAGACACTGCCGTCTTTTGGTATTCGTCGGTCGTTCCTCCTCCCCTCTCCATCGCGTATACGAAACGACAGTGCCCAGGACGCGCCCAACCCGTCTGCACCAAGTTGCGGAATCAACGGGCTAAGCCAGAACGAGCGATCATTCGACACGGCATGTTGTACCTTGCGCGTTCTATATATGGAATTCATGGCGTTGCACTCCAATGGGCCATGGACGCACTTGAAGACACTCAAAAGCAACGAGATGCATGGAGAAGGACAGCGGGACGACGAACCATAGAAAGGATATTGAGATGAAACAGCCATGTAAGGGGATATTCTCTGGGCATGAACAGGACTCTCCTTAGCGGGATTTCCCATGAGCCATGAAAATTGTCCCAGCTGCGCAGGTGACAGAATTCAGGCAAGGCTAGGTCGCGGCTGGATCTGCGTAAGACACGGGCCCTTGGCAATCCCGACTTTTTCCCCAAGGCGGGCTTATCATTCCGAGTCTTTGTTTGATAGTCCTGGGCCCTGACCATGACCTCCCGGAGGCCAACAATAGACTTACACCTTTTGTCGCGATATATCCACGACGCGAGCATATCCAATCTTGCTCGTCCTCTTCCCCCCCCTCCCACGCTCCCTCCGCAGTCACGTCGGAGCTGACATCGACAGATAGAACCAGGGCCGACCAATGAAGTTGGCGTCAGCCAGCTGCCCTGTTCTAACGCTGGCCGCGCCCACCACTGCTACTAGTACTGATGCGGAGAGTCCTGCAACGTCTGGCGGTTTCATCCGCCCTTCAAGCTACGGTCAGGAATTTTGGCTTAGAGTGTCGCCCCGCCCGTTTTTGCCGGACCGCCGCGGCGACACGCGATGGAAAAGTTCCTGACCAAGCCCCCACCACGTTTAAACTTCAAGTACCGTGGCGGTGAATCGCGCCCTTTTCGGCGATGAATGGGCGATTGGGGGTCGATGCGTGCACCCGTCCTCTCCCGTTATCTCGATGTTCTTCTTCTCCTCCTCCTCTTCCTTGTTCCCTCCTCTTCGCTGACGACCTGGCGTTCCCGACCGTAGCGTTGGTAGGCCTGGATCGCAGCAGGATCGCCGCTGTCGCGGCCGAACTGTCCGCAGTTGGTTGGCTCGAGGCCGGCCTCTCTGCAGGGCCGCCTCCGCACTCCCGCCCCTCCGTGCCCCGAGCAGCTGGTGGCCGCGCTGTCCCCGGCCGGCGCCCGTGGCAGCTTCAAGCACTGGGCGTGGGCATCGGGAGCGTCGAACAGGGGTGCGTGTGCGTGCGTGCGTGCGTGTGTGCGTGCGTGCGTGCGTGTGTGCGTGTGTGCGTGCGTGCGTGCGTGTGTGTACTCGTTGGCAGGAGGCGCGTTGGCATCCTAAGCGACTGCTCACGGACCGGCCGCGCCCCCGAGCTTATACCCTCCGCCTTGGCCCCGCGCGCGAGGCCGTTTCCGCCAACAGACAGTGAATGTGTGCGTGTGTGTGTGTGTGTGTGTTTGTGTGTGTGTGTCCGTGTGTGTGTGTGTGCCTTTCTCCCCGCCTCGCGCGGCTGCCTCTGGCTGCTGCCCGCCCCCGGCTGCCCCGCGGCTGCCGCCCCGCCGCCCTGGTGCCCCCCCCGCCGCGGCCTGGCCCCGCTCTGAACGGGCCCGGCTTCCGTCTCCCTCCTGCTCGCGCCGGGCCTTGCCCCTTGCTCCTCGCGCGCATTGCGGCTTCATTCGCAATTGTATGCCCTAGGTTCGCGTCATCCGCCCGCGCAGTGAACTTAGCCGCCAAATTAAAAGCGTGTGTGTGTGTGTGTGTGTTTGTGTGTGTGAGTGTGTGTCTGTGTGTGTGTGTGAGTGTGTGTGTGTGTGTCGGATCCCCTGCGGGCCACGTCCAGCAGCAAGTCAAAACTACTCTAGTAACCGTGGCGCGAAATAACATACGAAGCACACACCCAATCAGCGCCATATCGCCACTTACAGGGCCTCCACTCGAGGGCCCAGGGCGCGGCCATCAGGGCCTGACACGGTCCAGCGGACCCAGCACCCGAACCACGTCGGGTCCGCACGCGCCTCAGGTGCGAGCCCGCGCCACAGTCAGGAGCCCAGGGACCCAGGAGGGCCCTGGCACAAAGCGAGCCATCCGAGGCCTCGAGCCCCCAGGGATCAGGCGACTAAGCTGGCACCCGAGATGGGGTGCAACGTTCTCAGCAGATTCGCACGCCGAGCACGCCTGCGATTCCGGGCAGGCGCGCGCTCGATTCAAGGTGGGAGAGGAGCAGGGCACACCGCGGCGAGGCTCCTCGCGCCGCTCGTGGCCAACACGTGTGTCCCGCTCCTCGTAGACAGTATGTACTGGCCTCCTGTGACCATCTCGTGGCCCTGATCACATGCGATCGACTCCCCCCCGCCCTCCACCCACCCCCATCGGCAGCGGCTGCAGGCGTCACGCATTGCATGTAGTCATCTGCCGTCGACGCAGGTTCCGCCCGGCCTGCAAAGTCAGGCTCGGCGCGTGTCGTCGGCCCACCATTGCCCGCCAAACAGGCCTAGGCGCCAGCGTCGCTCCTCGCCGCGGCCAGGCTCTCCCGGTGCGCGCGCTGGCCGAGGCGCACATGCTGGTCTTCCGCGGCCTCTGCCTCCTGCGCGGCAGCCGTCTGGCCGTCCGCCTGCGTCGCCACCATCGTTGGGCGACCGCCTCCCCCCGACGACGTCGCACCTCAGGCGCCTGCGTTCGCCATGCCTCACGTGCGCCGATTTTCTCCGCTGGCTCGCTCAGCTAGGGCAGGACGGCCGCGTGGCGGCCGCGTCGCGGCCTTGGGCGCAGGGCCATGGCCAGGTGGCATCAGCCCCGCGGGCCGTAGCCGCCGCGGCTGCTGCCCGCACCGGCGCCGGTCCGACTGGCGTGGCCTGCAGGGCCGCGGCCGGACCAGCAGGTCCAGGCTAGGTGGGCGAGAGGACTGCGTCTTCCAACGGCGGTGGGCCAGCCGCGCCCTCGCGCCCCTGGCAGGCTGCTCTGGCCAACGGGACGCCCACCGTCCCACAATTGCCGAGCGTCAGGGCTGCAACGGCCAACGGCGGAGGAACTTCCGTACCCCGACACTCTTGGCGGGCTGCATCGGCCGACGGGACGCCCTCAGTCCCTTGCCCGTTCTTAGCGACTCTGCTCAGAGACGGCGGACGTTTGGCTGCTCGCGGCCCTGTCCCACCAGCAACTACTGCAGGGGCCTGGCCCACACTCCGCAGCACTCCTCCGTCTGCCTCTCCGCCCGAGTTTCCCCGCATGGTTTCTCCTGGCGAGCTG